CCAATGGTTGTGGCGGAAAGCCTCTGCTTTGCCCCCCTCCCGTTTGTGACGTTTGTGTGATGAGCGGTTTAAACACAAGACGGTGTAAGCAATTTTACGAAGCAACTTGAAGTGCAGACGTTTAGCATTTGCAAGAGGGAGCTTCGTGTCGCCGCTGGAACGACAAGGCGGACTTTGAACGGTGATGCAAACTGGAAACGGAATATATGCTGGACATTTTGGGACACTCAGAGACCCACTTAACAGACCACCGACATCAGCAGTTTGAACAGCGATGGCAAGTCTACCAGTCTGGTAACGAGGACTCTCAGAGAAGGCCAGAGTTGCAGTTCTGCTGCCCCATCAGACGAATGTCATCGTCTGCCGATTCGCAACGAGTCACGTGAATAAGAACTTTGTCTTCCGGAATGTCCCTACTGCGGAGGACCCGAAGAAGGACCAGTTCTTCGCCTGACTTCATAAGGTTTTTGGCTGTTTCCCGCAACATCAATCATCGATCGTCGCTGGCAACCTCAGCTCCCATGTCGGTGACGACCGTGACAACTGGGCCTCATGTGTCAGGTCGACTTGGCAGTGGTGTTGCCGATGAAAACCGTCACCGTCTGTTAGACCTTTGCGTCACTCACGGCCTCGTGATCGGCGAGCGTTGCTTCCGCATCATCGCAGCCATCAGCAAACGTGGACGACGCCAAGTGGTCACTTCAGAAAAAAAAGTGGATCACGTTTTGGTCAACGACAAGCGAGGAAATGACCTATACTACACTCGGGTGGAACGACTTGCCGACACTGAAACAGGCCATTTCCTAGTTGTCGTTAAGTTCCGCCTGCGTCTAGCAACAACTAGAGGAAAATTCAGGAAAGAGGAAGCTGAAAGGTCCCGCCATTCGTCAGGCGTGCACTGGCAGCAAATTCGCTCCTACAAGCGGTCACCATTTTTCAAGACCCGAAGCTGCTCAATTACCGCCTTCGTTAAAGAAAGCATCGTCGACGGCGCTGCCGGGACCATACGTTTCAATAGCAGAAGGACGAATCAGCCCGGGGTCACAACAGAAGCTTTTTGTCGCTTCGTAACTTGACCCTGAATGGACAA